GGCATAAGATATAATAGAAGTTATCAGAGTTGCAGGTTACTCAAGTGGGATTTGGAGCTGGTGGTCTAGGAATTACTCTACAATCTGAAAGCATTGTGTTAATAAACAAAGCTCATGGGTTAAACTCCTGTCCAGACTAGAGTTTTATGTCAGGCTTCATTTTTGCTGTTGCTTCAATAGCATTCATTTACAGAAAATACTGTAATAGAATGCCTAGAAGGTTGAGAAGGGAGAGTGCTTTTTCTTTCCTTCCTTCGATTCCTTTTGTATCTCACAGTCATGGGACTGAATTAAGGGGCTTATTTCTTCTTTACTTGGTATGTCTACCCAAACTACTATAAATTTGGTTTTCCATCCTGCATGTTTAAGATTCTCATTGTGCAAAGTCCTCAAAAATTGTTATCCATTATCAATCTGTACCCCTTCCTTCCACTATTGAAGGCCTGGGATTTCTGAGGGGGAGGGGGGATAAAAATCATATTTCCCAGAGGAGTCAATCTATAACAGAGGGGCAAAGGCCAAGCCTCTAAGGGGTTGCAGGGGCATGCTCTCTTAAAAATGTTTTGAAATTAGACTCTCAGAAATGCATTTTCTAGCTTTCTGAGATGGAAATGTATCATTTTGCAAGGTAATTCTGCTGACAAAAATTGTGCCTGGATAGTTGACAATACTGTCACCAACATAACCTACAGGCACAAAGTGAATGCGACAAGTAATATGCAATTATAACATAATATGCAATTAAGCTGAATATTTTTAATTATATACATATATATATATGAACAGTATCATGGATGTTGTTAAGGGTTGTCTATTCAGGCAATGGGCTATGAAAAGCCCAATGACCCCACACATGTGGCAGTGGCACTGGGATTGAGTCCTTGGCACTAGTCGCAAAGAGCAGACATTCTACACCTTTAGAGTGGAAATAGGATTTTGTGCCAAAGGTGTGAGCCTCTTGGGGGGTCTAGGGGCATGCCCCTCCCCCCCAGGAAATTTTTCAAATTTAGTTTCTCTCAAGTGGCATTTCCTGCATTTTGGCATCATATTTTTGGTATTATATAAGGTCATTGTCCTTATCACAGATATCTTTGAGCTTTTCTTTGCTGTTGTCAATCCATCTTTTCAGAATCAAAAAGGGAGATTTCTTTTACTACTTTTAAATGGCCACTTTGAAAGATCGTGAATAACTGTAAACTTACTGTCCACAAGGCATAAATGCATTCAGTGGGGAGCCACAAAAAACGGATCGCAAAAATACTTCTAAGATAAGCAATTTTTCTTTGTTATCGGAATTTTATGATTAATCTGGAGAACCTGATAAAAATAGGGAGAGCGTGAGGCAACACGTCAAATCGGGAGACTCTCGACCACATCGGGAGGGTTAGAATGTCTGCTATTGATGATGATGATGATGATGATGATAAAGGTCGCTAGCATAAAATTAATTTACAAATAATTTTTGGTCACTTGATAATTTACATGAAAGGCTCTTATTACTCACGGTTAGTTGACCGTGCACATGATTTCCCTTCTCAATATCTCTTTTGTAAAACACTTTACGACTTTCTTAAGCTTTCCCTCCCTAAACACAATCCTGGTAGACGTTTTGGGGATTACTTTGACTTTCAGCAGCGATTTTTCTGCCTTCAGCAAGCAATTTTGTAAGTCCGAGAAGAGTCGACATTGGACTTCATGTTAGCATCCCAAGTGGGGATACCCAAACGCCAATGACTTGCTTCGCTAACATATTTTCTAGATCTGAATTTGGATCTTCTTTTTGGTCTAAGGCTTCTCATTTTTCGATTTGATAGTAATTCCAGCAGAAACACCTTCACACTCAATTATACAGATCAACCTTTAAAGCTTCGTAACTACATGGTTCTCTAGGGTAGCGTGAGTCTTCTTTTGTTACTTGGAAGCGAGGTAAACATCCCTCGCGCGTCGCTCAGTCTCCATAGTAACTGAACTGCCGCGCATGAACAAACAAACAGACCTTGTGCTTAACGACAACCACTGTTCACTTGAGCCACAACACGCTAGTTACGGTCGTGCTGAAGAAAGCAGAGGCTTTGATTTATAAAAAATTGTTACCATAAGAAGGCATGTTTAAGAATACGTTTCAGTCAGGATTCCTATCCATATTATATAGCATTGGCAGCAAGCCTTTGCAAATCTGGGACAAGAAAGTAAGCAGACTTGTGGCATTGAGTAAGCGTACTAATGCTTTGTGAGAGAGTTTTCCAATGTACTTAGCTTAATTTCTGTAATTTCGACCTTTCAGGTTAGAAATGGACATATAAAGAGAATAACCGATAACGACATTCAGTCACTTGTTTTGGAGGTCGTCGGAACAAACGTCAGGTATGAGTTTTATCTTCAAAATGATTCAAAAGTTGTTGAGACCCTTTCATCGATCGTAAAGATCAGCAGTGAATTAGGGGGTAATTTTATAGTAAGCCTATCCGTAAAGAAGAACATTATTATATGTTCATTCTTATTTATATTTTGGAAATAATTACATGGTGCTACTGCGGTAAATCTTCGTCTTACTCCGTTCTAAAATGAACTCGTTTTTTCTCCCACTCCAGTACAACTTATATCACATGTCCCGCTGACCCAAAGAAGACTCTTGGAATCAAGCTACCATTCCTTGTGATGATCATTAAAAATTTGAAAAAATACTTCACGTTTGAAGTTCAGGTAAATGTGATAGTTTTCAACTCTGTATTTTTAAGTTTGACAGAATTGAAACATTTGATAGTTTTAAACAATCTCATTTCGCAAATTCAATTCATTTGTTGACACTTCCTGTAGGTCCTGGACGACAAGAATGTTAAAAGACGATTCCGCGCTTCTAACTACCAATCAACCACGCGAGTGAAACCATTCATTTGTACGATGCCCATGAGGCTTGATGACGGATGGAATCAAATCCAGGTAGAATGTTGCTAAAATAGAAACTGCAATATGTTGTTGCTACGCCTCAGTTGTTTCCTCTATGAGCTTGCAAACTCACATCAACTCTAGTTTCTTTGTTATTCTTTGCGCATTGGTGTAAGATTTAAAAGATACATTTGTGGCTCTTATGTACTGGGAGAGGATATCCAACATTATGTGAATGTAACCAAATATATATATATATTTATTTGTCAAGTTATTAGTCGCAGATTTTGCATTGCTGATGTTCTGATAGGTTTCCTCAGTCTTAGTTACCAGCCCGTATAATGTTTCACCTTTTATGGAAATTAATCCCCCAAGTGTTACAAAGCATAATTAGTTTAAAAAAATAGAATTAAAAAAAAAGAAATAGAAGTAATACTAGTCAGTGCCATTTGGGGAATAATGATAAAAGCCACAAAGTGCCATGCAACACTATTTAATGTTGCATATCTTTGAAGTTTCACGTTAAAATCTTGAAAAAGTGCACTTGACAAAGATTTTGCTGCCTAGAATGAGGATGACCCAAAAATTTGGCTGGTACAAGGATTACGCATGAGCTGAGGGTCTGTTTCTGAAATTTATTTGCTCTTGCTTTCAATTAATAAATATGCATCAGCAGCCATAATATTGACCTCCTCTGGTTGCTACCTCATAAGGAAGTATTTGTTAATGTGCACAATGTGTGTGGGTAGGGTTGAAATTTTTTAAACTAGGAAATAATATTTGTCTCAGTAAGTTCATAGATGTACACTAAGGGCACTGAGTTTAGTTCAGCATATTCAAAGGGGCATCATTCTTTGCTGTTCTACTGAACATGTGATGGTTGGTAAAGTGGAAAACAAAGATGGAAAATAAGTACTTTTGAATCAATGCCAACATCAATGTCTGGCTTCAACATGTTACTCAAACATGTCCCAGAATGCAAGAAATTACATCTCAGAGAGTCTCAAATTTCAAATTTTTTGGGAGAGCATGTGGACCCAGACCCCCTGGAAGTGATTGTGGCTTTGTAACATGCCAGGCTTGCTATGCAAGCATTTTTCAATTCAGCTGCCCACTCAGTTTAGATCATGCATCTAGAAAATTTACTGATTACAACCTCACATCTGGCCTTTATTTAATAAAAAATAAAATAAGTGCTTCTCGTGTCTCATTTTAACTTTTGAAGAAGCATTCCAGTCCTCAATTGGAGGAATGATTGTATGTAATTGAGTGTGTTATTTTGTGTTATTTTATAATGTCTAATAACATTGCTTAGAGTATTTTGTCCACAGTTTAATCTTTCAGATTTTACAAGACGGGCTTATGGTACAAATTACATTGAAACACTTCGAGTTCAGGTATTAGCCTTAGATAGATAAGAGACAAATGCATTTCCTGTCATGTTAATTTTATCCTTTAAACCCAGTGGAATCTATCTTGGTAGAAAAACTTTGAGAAAAGGGAATGTAGTTCAATGGTTTGCTATTGTATATTAACTTATTTGGCTTCTTTATGTTTAGAGACCTCAAATAAAGTGTTTAACTCCTTGCAATTTAAAATAAATCTATAGCCAACCTTCTGTGTCACCAAATGTACCAGCCAGTTCAATTTTTTAATCACTCTCATGGTGTCCAATTTGCGAAAAAAACCCTAAACTGACAATCATTAGGTGTATATTTTCTGTATTTTACTTCTATAATTGTTATTATTTTCGCAATATGGACACTGTGAACCTAACATTCAATTTACACATCTGACATTTAATTAAATTTTCTTTCATGCCTGGCAATACACTCATCACTTACTATAGACAATACTGTTTTTACATTGAGTACAATATTTAAAGAGTTAAGGTACATACTTCCTCTTGAACGTTGGCAGGGCATGGACTATTTTTTTTCCTCCAGTGTCATCAGTTCCTCAGCCTTTTCTAGTTTTTTTAAATAATGTCAAGCTCATTTCACTTTTTTATGTTTTCTATGTGAATGCATAACTGCAGATCCATGCCAACTGCAGGATAAGACGAGTTTACTTTTCCGACCGCTTGTACTCAGAAGATGAACTACCAGCAGAATTCAAGCTTTACTTACCAGTGCAAAAAAAATAAAACCAAGGTAAATCTAGGTATATGACTTTGTATGGATTTTTAGTCTAAAGCTTAAGTAAGATGATTTCTTATTATTGAATTGTGTGTTGGGTGACTGAGCATGGTTTCCACACAAATGGTGCACACACATTAAATCAAAGCAACACCTTTTGTCATTGACAAAGGGCTGCTAGTGTTGTAAACATTACTATCAATCCCCAAATAGGAAAATTGTGGTTCTCTTTTTTGTGATATGTATTTCTTCATCATATATTACGAATTTGGCTTGAATTCAAGGCCAATGTTGAGGAAATTGAATTAATTAAATGGCAGAGTCATACCAAACCTAAAAGTCTGTGCTGAATTAAACATGTTTTTAAGTTAAGAGTTAACAGGAAATTATCAATTAAATTATTAAATGTATTCCTCAAGTACAGGCTGTCTATGCTGTTGAGTCAGTTATGAACCCTCAGTGACCAGTGTGTAGCCACAACTAACAAATTATTTTCATCAACCACAGTTTTTAGTAATTTGACATATGACTTTTATTCTTGCAGGCTTAAACCTGACTGATGGATTTGGGGGTTTTGGGGAGGAAAAAATTTTTGGATTTGTTGCTGAAACAGCCTGTAATTGCTATTATTCTTCAATTAAGCTTTCATTTGCCTTTAAAAAGGGACATATTCTTGACAAATCAGTTTCTAAGAGTATTCTGGAGCTTTGTTTTAGGCTAATGATTCAATAGACTTGAAGAGCATCTTTTGTTACTAAGAGTAAATAACTCTAACAATCAGTCGAGTTGTCTGAAAATTGGATATTTTTGGCTGTACTGTTTACTCCAACACTGATCACTCCACTCATTGTTATCATTGTAAGTATATAATTGTAAAAAAGAAAATAAATTTACAGTGTATAATCACAATTGGATCTATTTGAGTGGTTGTAAGTATTTTTTAAAGTTTCTAATTTGCTGTGTTTTAAAGAAGAATCTGGGGACAAAACTTTTCTCCAGACTTGTGTCGCGTTTATGAGTTCATCATCTGGTCTTTGGAAAACTCCTTACCATATCTTTTAACCAAGTACGGTGATCTATTATTTTAATTGTATTTTTCGAAACAAACATTGGTAGGGACCCTTTATGGAAAGTTTAAAAAAGAATTTTCAATAGCTTTTTTTATCTGAGGAATCACAATAATGGTGATTTAGACCAATGGAAATAGGAACTCCTAATGATAACACTTTCCCTGGGGCTGTAACGATGAAATACGAAGGATACTGTACATGTTAATTTCGACAAATCTTTCCCTTAGAAATATGGCATTTTATTCCTCTCCTTTACTTTAGTATGATAAAATTCGGCCCACTTAAAAAAATATGAAGCAACTACAACAAATTTATATCCTTCTTTATTCCCCGTGTAATAGTTTCTTAGGACAGTGTCTACAAGGCATTAAGAGATCCAAGTAAAGCAAACCCATCTTTCTCAATTTGACTTGTTTCAATATGCTGGTGACTGATGCACCAGTACAACAAAAGAAATACAGCCTGAAAGAAATGTTTTAACTAATGAAATAATTCAATTCCTTTCAAGGCAGTAGATGTTGAAAGACTGTTCTTCCTAATATGAAGACACTGAACTCTGTCTGTATTTCTGTAACTAATAAAATATCTAGTGTCAGAAAGAAATATGAAGCAATTTCTTCTCTGCTAGGCACGGTTATGTAAAACAGTGATGTAAATGAATTCAGTCCAAGTTTTTCAGTTTGTTCCTTTTGATTATTCACTTTTCTGTCCAATTTTCTATTTTGTTTCATTTCTTGGTCAATCAACAGGGAGATGTAAAATTTGTGCTCTAACGTGTTTGCTTGTCTTTTCTCTTTATCAATAAAGTTTAACCAGAAGTTCGAGTATGGATGAACAGAAAAAACAATCACTTCTGTCAATGATATCTAATCCAAAACTGTCCTTTATTTGGGCTTCTTTCCTATTGCTCTTGCGTTAGGTTTGGATTTCTTCGTCTTTGGTCCTTTGCTGTCTTCGTTCTAAAAGGAGATCAAGAAGAAAAGTTCATGAAAGGCTTTTTCCGCCTGTTGGTCATGACATTTACTGGTCATTTCAATGGCGCTCAAAGCTAACTTTTTGTCAAAAACATTTGCTTTGAACTTGACGTAGTCACACTGAAGTAAAGAAATTCTACTCTAGCATTCGTTTGAGGAGGTGTTCAATATGACCTTGTAGATGATAGCACACTATTACCTCCTCAAAAACTAACATTTTGTAAGTTCTATAAAATAGATAAGAACAGAAAATGGTATAAAAATTTAGTACTTTATTATAACTACTACTTACAAAATTTAACCAACAATCCCATTCAAATTTAAATTTTACTTTTTTTTTTTTAAAATAAAACATATTTTGTCAATATTCTCACTCCAAATTTTATCATTTATCTAAATAGGAATGATTATTTCAAACGTGGTCATTGACTCACCTTCCTTTTAATTGGAGGACTTGGTGAAGGGACAACCTTGAAAAAGGAATCCAGCCTTCCTTGAGTAGAACCTTTACGTGCCTTTAAGACCTTTTTTACTCCAGAACGAATTCTCTCTTCACTAACAAGAAACGTACATCAAAAACAAAAATAGTGGATGAGTAAGAAGTTGTGTGTCTCATCGTTTCACTTTAAGTCTTTTCACTACAATTCTAAAGTCTTTTTCGTAAGACTGATATTCTCCTTTAAACTCAACAACAAACATGGAAAGATATTAAACAAATCTTCCACAATATCTGAAACTCACTAAAACTTTCATTAGTTTATTTTTTTCTCTTAACGGGGAAACTGGCGAAAATTTGAACAAGCATCAGCTAGGAAAACGCAGCACTCAAAATTGTAGAGGGCTTGATGTGAAACAACTAAATACATGTCGATAAACTGACAATTAATTTTACTCTCATCTTGAGGCAGCGGTAGCCCGACCTAACGATTACAGTGCTGACCCTGCTATCATTCTGTTACCCCGTGGATTTGTTATCAGTTGCCTAGAATTTAATTTCTTGTCAGTGCCTTGTTCATAGTTAATTGCTTCCTGCCAGTTTGGGTCGTTTAATGTCCTTGTATTTATTCAGATTGTTTGTATTTACTCTCTAAAGAAAGAGAGACCAATGAAGATAATCATCATATTGTAACTCAACAACTACTTTACGTATCTTTGGAAAACCAAAGTGCAAAAATAGGTCATACCTTTTTTATACTTTTCAACTAATAGAATAATTAATCAGACTTTTTCCCAGTTACCTAAACTCCAAATAACCTGAAACATCTCTCAGTATAAGACAGCCAAATTGGTCACCTCTAAAACAGAGTTGTTGGTTCCCGTTCTACTCACTTAAATCCTTTTTCTTCAACTAGGAATTTCACAAGTTCCTCTTCATTTGGAGCCTCCCACTTAAGCTGAAAAAAAATCAGATGGGAAATTAAAAGAGCAGTAAGACACTGCAATTCATGTCGTTGTATTTTTCTAAAATACTTCAGTTTTTCCAAATTGAACAGTGGCCAATAGATTTCACAGCACAAAACCTAGACCACTAAAATAATGAAGAAACCCAAATTTACTAACATAGTACACCTATTAGACAAGGCCCCAAGGCTGAGGCCCCAGATTTGCATGTTTTGCTGAGTTGTATGCTAGTATGTGGAGATAAATTCATTTAGCTTGGCAGACAAACTTCTTCTTCATGTCACAAAATGGATGTTTATAAAAACAAGACATAACATTAACTTAGCCTCACTACCCCCAGTAGCTCACATTTACGTCTTCATCTTGCAAAACCTCTGGGTTCTTGAATAATTCTCTGGCTTCCTGTGTATAAAATAGGCACAGTGTGCTATAAAATTCTACTGATTTACACATAAAAAGTAAAAGGAGAAAAGATCTGAAGATCAGAGTTCATAAGTAAAGTTTTCATTGAAATATTAAGAAAAAGATTTAGCTTTTTTTTTAAGTTTAGAGATCAGCTTTCATCAAGTATTCACCCTTCACAACAATTTATACAGGCTGTCCAGATGTTATGAAAAGGACCTTACAGTTGTAAGTTTATTTTGACATCATGTTTCAGTTGTGTTGACATGGTCGTGGGCAAAATCATAAAACAAAATAAACCTTAAAAACCACTAGATAAACTGTACACTTTTCTGGAAGTATTTCAGTAAAGGATAAATTTTAAGGGCCCTAACTCTTCACTTGGAGAAAAAAATGTAAGACGTCTTTCGTCAAGACTTTCAGGACCAAGATAAGTCTGTTATGACAAGCTAGGAGTCTAATGTCACAACCAACCCTACATCCTTGAAATTCTGGAGCACGTCCAAACAACGATGGCCAAAGAAATCTCTGGAATTACAGTTTTGAAAGAAGGGTCCTACTGTGGTCAGAAAAAATGGTTTGGATGGGAAAGTCATGTACAGTTCATGATGATACAAAGCTTGAAAAACTTTGATCAAGTGTAATTACCTGATATGGCCATTCTTCAGGTAAGATGTATTTCTGAAAAAAGAAATCATAAAAACATATTGAAGGAAATCTTGAGAAGTAGGAGAAGTAGTGAATCATACAATTAAACATCTATCAATTAAGGTATCATGTTAGGTGGACTTCATAAATTTAGAGATGCATTTTCTTTCAGTCAAATGTTATTGTTGTTTTAAAAGTAAACATGTTGTAGTTAAACATGAATATCTGGTCAAAATGATTTCAAATTAGTTCAATTTGTTTTTCTTTTTAACACAAGACTATCAATAGTCTTTAAATAGAGAAAAATAAAATTGAAACTTGAAAATATTTTAACCAGAAAAATTTCAAACAACAATCAATAAAATACATTTAAAATGAAAAGGAGCATTTTGAGTTCACCTGTGAGGAGATACTAAAACTTTAAAATCCCACATAATTTAATTACATTTAATAGCTATAATTTTTTTTAGAGTTTTCAGATTCAATCAAGAAAAAAAAAGGGTCACTTTTACAAAATTATAAGAAAAGTTTAAACCATCAAGTGACAAACAACTTTCTTGATCAAATTGTTTCCCACATCAACTACCTTCAAAATAAATTTTCTTAACTCTTTAATTAGTTGATTTTAACTACGTAAACTTTTTGCCAAACTGGTGAAGTGCATCAATTCTAAAGAATAATACAAAAATAAGCAAACACACACTTACATTTGTATCAATGTGTTTGACGATTTCCTCAATGGACTTATATTGCTTGATTAGATCCACTGCTCTTTTAGGCCCAATACCTGAAGAGTTAAGGAGTAAACCACATTGACATTGACAAATCTCTGAAATATTCTGAAGAAACCAGCTTTTAATTTTTCTGATTTGATTTACATTTCTTTCTACTTTTTATCACTAAAAGGCAAATGAAATAATTTCTTAAAATGGGCAGTTGATAAACACCTAACCACATGGTAATAAGAAAATCAACATGCCACCTAGAATGTCTTTTACAAAAAAGAAAAAAATACCTTTGATGGAGTCACAGTAGTCGCATCCCAATAGAATACAAAGATCAATAAACTGTCACAAACAAAAAGATCATGCAACATAAACAAACTAAATAGTGAGAGATATGAACTATAGCTTCATTAATAACTCTGACAAGCTACATAGTCACCCATCATGATGCAGTTCTGCTACACCAGAGATTGGATAAAATATGCAGGACTGAAATAAAAAATAATTTACTAGCTGCTTCCTATTACATCAGTACTGCATTATCATATCATTCTTAATTTTTGTCAACACCGACAAACTTGTAAATTAAAATCTGCAAATTCAGGGAGTTGTTCGTCACATTTTCTAAAGATATATGATAAAAATTTCACAAACTTTAAAGAAGTATATGAGAAATAGTTATTCTGTGA